ATTGCATTTAATTTAACTTGTGAATGAAATAAAGTGGAGTAAGGTATATATTTTTGACCATAAGTAAAACAAGGGTTTCCGAGTAGCATAAGCATGCCATTTGGGTGTATCAATCCAAAAAGACCTATTTGATGGCAAAAAATTTAAAAATCTAATAATGCAACGTCTCCTTATTCACCTGACAGGATTCCCAAAAAATAAAGAGAAATATAATATTTAATATATATTAATAAAAACCGTCATTTTACAAGCAAAGATAAGATTAAAAGTGCTAAAAGCTATCCCTAAAAGTGTTTCAGGGATTAGAAGAAAGGGAGGCATAAGTGTTTAATGGAGAATATATTAGGGGTTAAGACTGAGAAAGAAGAATGGATATTCTCATATAAATTTATTTTTCAAAACTTGTAGCTATAGTCCGGTCAATCTAGACATTCGAAGGTACATAAATTTACAACAAGCTGAAAATCAGTAAAATTGTTCAGAATATAATTATAAATAAAATTTCCCCATCATTCCCCTGTATGGAAATTTTTTTATTCAATGTCAAAGATCAAAAAAAATGATTTTTCGCGATTTTCAGCAAAACGGTAAGTTTTATCATAAAACTACACCAGACAAAAATTGTTTACCATAAAATAATCTATAAAAAATTCATTGATACTTTTTTTTCTACGAGCCACCGTTTCTGAGATATAACGATTCGAAAAGTTGTAAGTTATAATCGCCATAATATGCACACGTTTCCACGCCACCTATGAGGTAGTTTACTTAGCGCGTTTTTAACGTGGTTTCCCCAGTAGGCCTATTTCACGAGTCAGTTGTGATCCTGTTTAATTTAAAACTATTGCAAAATAACGGAAATTAGCAATGATTGGAAGAGATAATAGCGATGTAAATTTAAAAAAAGTACTGAAGTTTATTCGTCTGATTCGTAACATTTAAATTCTTCTTCTTGTTCTTCTTCTTGATCTTCTTCTTGTTCTTCTTCTTCTTCATCTTCATCCTGGGTACAAGTAAATTGCGTCAATAGCGATGTATCGCATGTCACCTCGTTGGAATAAAATGAATCCTCCACTGTTGGTGATTCAACATTAGAGCACGACCGGCCTTGACAATTCGTACATGCCAGACAATAATAGTCCGACTCTTTTGCAACCACATTTAGCACTGCATCCCTTTTTGCAGTTGCAGAAAATTGTGTTCAGCAGTTTTTCCGGCGCAGGTGGGAGTAAAGTTGGAACTGGTTCTAATGTGTTGTTGACCAACTTCCAACCCCAGTCTGTAGGGTCCAGCTGATAACCAAGCCACACTTGAACTTGGTAATATACCCGAAAAAGATGTTGATGAGCAGCAAGTGAGGTTAGAGGAAGACTAGCTTATTGAACTTTTTTTTTTTACTTTTAGAATTTTTAACGAAACATGCATATCGATACTTATCAAAGCAGGTAGTTTTTTAGGAGCTCCGTATATAGAAAGAAGAAATCGAATAACTTCTTGTCCCGAAGCACCTTTTCCTCGAGTTCGGCCGAAAAATCTCCGCTAGTTCGAAAGTTAAGCGAAGACAACGGAACGTGCCAAATTTGACGGAAAAATCGAAAAAAAGTGGACTTGGGTCTTTTCGAGAAATTTGGTACGCGGTAGGTCTCGTGGGCAGAAAAAAAGGATGCAAATTTTAACCTTCAACGGCCTCCGAGCTACGGCGCTTAGAAAAAAAAAGGATATTCAGAAAACGGAAAAAATAAACATTGCAAATGGGCCGGATCCGCCGGAAACTTTTCGAACAGCGTTCTTTTTTTATTTTTTTTTCGAAAAATTTTCAAACGTTTTTTAGGGCGAGAGAAATTTTTGAAATTGGCCTAACGAAATACACGAATCGACGGGTAAAAGACCAAAGTTTGACATACTAAAAGATGAGCTTCATTTAATGAAAACTAATCGGCCAGAAGCCCGTTCAATTTAAAAAAGTTAACCAATTAAAATCCCCGAAATCAAATCGATAAGGTGGCAAATGACAGGTGGCATATGACAGGGACAAATAACAGGTGACAGGTGACAGATGTCAAGTCAAGTTGACAGATGACAAGTGACTAATGACAGTAGACAGATTACAATTGACAGATAACACATATAAGGTGACAGAAGACGTGAGAAATATAAAATTCATCTTTAAAATTACTACCCAGTTTAGGTGGAGCGGTCGCGGCGCGATACCCACCCGCAGCGAGCACCACCTATTGCAGGTCACACAATTGAACATGAGACAGATCATCTGTCATCTGTCATCTGTCACAGATGTTGTCTCGAGGCCTCGCGAGGTTACAATGGTGTATAAATTAATTAATTTTTTCCATACAGGGGAATGGTGGGGAACTTTAAAATTTTATTTATAATTATATTCTGAACAATTTTACTGATTTTTAGCTTGTTGTACACTGAAAGAAATTTATGTTTCATATATGGACTACCACATACATTGCTAAAACAAACATATAATATATTTACCTTAACCATTTTTATATTTAGTTTTAACATATTATGTTAAAACTAAATATAATATATGTTTGTTTTAGCAATGTATGTGTTAGTCCATATATGAACCACAAACATTGCTAAAACAAACATATATTTCTTTCAGTGTAAATTTATGTACCTTCACTGTTATTTTTTGGTTTAATTTGACCGGACTACTATGTTTTTTATTACCATATATGTAATCATATAAAATTCAACTTTCCAAACTAATATACTTCCAATTAACATATAAGGTCTCCTTTAACATTTATACGGAATTTATAATAAAACACAACATAGTATATTGTTCAACGATTGAGAAAGTTGACTAAGCACAATTTTGTACAATTATCACATTAAGAAAATAATGAACCACCGTATAATCGTCATAGTAATGATAAATACTACTGTGAAGAAAATTAAAATCTCGTAGTCTCATTGGACAGTGACTCGTAGAGAAAGGGGGCACTGGTAATTTTGTACAATTACCACATTAAGAAAATAATGAACCACCGTATAATCGCCATAGTAATGATAAATACTACTGTGAAGAAAATTAAAATCTCGTAGTCTCATTGGACAGTGACTCGTAGAGAAAGGGGGCACTTTATCAATTGAAAAGACTGAGCCACTTTCTCAATTAAAACGTATAGGAAATATACAAATTCTTTAATATTATAACGTTTTCGCTAAAAATTATTTATGTATCACTATTGTTCAAAACTTTTGAATCAAAAGTCTATACCAGTTCCAATTTAGACGGGAAGGTGAATAGATGTGTTAGAGCTCAAGCGCTCTTAAGTACCTAACCAAATAAAAGTCTTAAAGAAACAAAAAAATCGCTGACCAATGACCTAATACGCAAAATTGCAACAAAATCAACAATAGTATAAAAAACAATAATCAAGTAAGAACGTCACAAAATAATATAAGCATAAACTAAGAGGCCAGCCCCATAAATTAAAGTGTTTAAAAGTTACCAAAACTAATATAAACAACATTTTCTTAAAATAGATTTAACGAGCACGTAAATCAGATGAAACCTAAACACAAAATAGGCAACGTAGCCAAACAAAGGGCAACTAAAGACAAATAAGTTCACGCACAGTGGGGTAAACAATTCGTATGTATCTGTTACTAATTTTTTAGTGGGTTAAATAAAGGTAGGCTAAACAGCTGCATTGGGTGGCATGAGGGGTTGAATTTCCACATAGGCAGAGGGCACTACTTACGGAGTGTCATGGCAACACTTCGGTACTGAGATGTACAAGATTCAATATCTCACAGGGGGCAAACAATTCTAAAGCGGTTACCAGAAACCGGAATCAGACTCGGACAGAGACATGAACAAACAGGAAGTACGAGTACACCAACAAGAATAAGTCCTAGCAGCGTACTAACCCATCCACCCCCATTCATGAACCCCAATTGAATGGGGCTACTACTAAATCCCTTGTTGAGGAAAATTCCGGATTGTACCTAGTTTTGGGTCAGTTTAATGTCCTCCAAAAACCAATATGTTTTCCCTCTTGTCCCGCAATCCACTAGCCTGAATTGGGCGGAACCAAAATTCCGGGAGTGGCCTTAACCATCTACATACATTGTCATCCAAGACCTTCTAAGGTAGATCTACCAGCCGGCGTAAAAATTCGAATCCAACAAGCACAAGTAATGCTGTGCAGTTGCGTGATACGTAGGAGAACTGAAAGGGGGGATCAGGGTAAGGCGATGTCGATGGGGCCTGCCATACGTCCCCATTCTCATACTCATAATCACTACTTTACAAAAGTATATTTATTACGTATTTTTAAATTATTGCGTATCTTTGCTAGGCCTTATATATCCAGGGCGTAGGTAAACTACTTCACGCAAACACCTTTCCAAACCTTCCAGGGTGGTATTCTCATGAGAGAAGTGGGCGTGTTTCTCTCAAGTTTTGACTGGCTGATTGTTTGGTTCTTCGGAAACATGAAAGAATTTCTTAAAGAAGAATTCGGTGATATGATTATATATGTCTCCTAGGAATGCACTCACTTTTCTTAAACTCGAAAATCGCCCACCTGTATGTCCCACGCCGCTATCGATCCTTTTGGAAACAAGCTCATCGCCGATGAGTCACCAGAGATATTCCGAGATTAAGATCGGTACTTGCTACAATATGATTAGAAAAACCTTTTTGACTGAACACAAATAAAATTTCGCAGCGAAACTCCAATAAAATATAGTTTAATTAAACGGAATACGACTGGAAGGGATTATTTGATTATTGTTTTATTTAAAATTTAAAGCTATTAAGTTTCGAGCAATAATATAGAATTTAAATTTTCTTTAGAAAGCGAATGAACAGTAGATGAATAATTTAATTGAAGTATGTAAAGTGGAATATTTATATTAAATAAGTTATAATATGAAAGTAGAAAAAATAAATGCAAAATTAATTCAATAAAGCCATATTATTAAATAGGAAAATCACCGCACTACTTTCTTACCGATGACGTTCAGCCTAAAGGGTAGAGACATTTTGGGCTCGGTGTTGACTTGACACTCGTAGACTCCCGAGTCCCTTAGTTGGGGGAACTTGATCTGCAACGTCCAGTTGTCCGACTTATCCGGCCGGATCACCTGGAAACGCTGGTCGGACGTGTACGTCAATATGCCCGCCGTCAGGATGTGTAAGTCTCGTTTCCTGATCCAGGACACCTGAAACAAAGTTATTAGAATTAGTTGGAATCCATTACTTTACAAGTAAATTGCAACAAAACGCATGTAATAAAATACTACTAGTAAGTTTTACATTCAAAATTTGATGGTTTTGGAGTGCTTTCGGCATTATAAATTGTGTGTTTTTTTAATATTTTAAGTAAGTTTGACATTCTAAATTGTATTTTTTACATTCTATACAGGTCGACGAACTTTAATAGGAAAAGTAACTAGGGGGCGCTTTGAGACAGGAATAAACGGTGATATTAACTACTACATAAACATTTTTTTAAATCGCATTTAACAGTTCTATAAACATTAGGGGATGGTGCCTATGATGGCATACTATGGTATATGGTATACTCTGAAAATAGCAGAGTTGGTAGAGTTGCGCATAATTCGACCTGTGCGCATCAATATTGTAGATTGGAAACACTCTCTAAAAATTAATTAGTCAAAAATGACTAATTTAATAGTTATTAGTAGCTGCTTTTTCACTTGTACCATGGTTAACCATGGAATACCATGGTATACCAACATTTAACAGCCAATTCTTTTGTAAAATTGTCACCTGAATCCGAAAATACCGTCAAAATTATGAAAGTGGAGCAGTTTTTGAGACATAGTCAAGTCCATATTAAAATATCTCAAAACCTGTTCTACTTTGACGGTTTCAGATTCAGGAGACAGTTTTACATAATAATTGGCTGTTAAATTTTGGGATATCATGGTATTCCATGGTTAACCATGTGAAAAAGCAGCCACTAATAACTGTTAAATTAGTCAATTTTGACTAATTCATTTTTAGAGAGCAGACTTCCAAAATGCGTTTTGTCCAAAAATTCAACTATTGAAAAAAATATGGCTTTCTGTTCTTAAAACTAAGGCGCATCTTCCAACGGTACCATGTACATTAGAGTGTGTCAAAAAAACCGACTATTTTTTTTCCAAAGAACATTGAAAATTCGTCAGAGTATCTCTAGAAAATGACCCTGTGAAAGTAAGAGCTCTTAATATTAATATTTAGATGTGGCGTTTTGTAATTTTCTATTTCCCATTTAAATAACATGGGAAATTTTTATTTTCAAATTTGGAATTTTGTAACGTGATAACGAGCTAGTTTATAAGTATGACGAAATTACTTCTTATAGGAAATTTAATGCTCTACAAAAAAGGTCTGATTGACTTTTTGCGTAAGTCAAGCCGTTTCAAAATATCGAGCCTCAAACTTCAGAATGTTTAAAATTATGCTTTTTTTTCTTAAATACAAAAAAATCAGGAGATAACAGAAGAAAATTGATATAAAATAAAATGGACTTTTAACATGACTATATAAACAGTAAATATATTATTAATACATAATGTAAATCAATTTATAGTAAACTTCTACCAAATTTTTTTAGGTAAGTGAATATTTTTTGCTAAAAATCAATAAAAATTATCATTTATCAAATTATTAAGAATTTTAGATCTGCATTCCATCAAATATATGCATATATTTATTCTGAAGTTAATAATTTTGGGTCTTAAATACATATAAATTGATTTTTTTGTATTTAAGAAAAAAAGCATAATTTTAAACATTCTGAAGTTTGAGGCTCGATATCTTTGAAACGGCTTGACTTACGCAAAAAGTCAATCAGACCTTTTTTGTAGAGCATTAAATTTTCCATAAGGAGTAATTTCGTCATACTTATAAAGTAGCTCGTTATCACGTTACAAAATTCCAAATTTGAAAATAAAAATTTCCCATGTTATTTAAATGGGAAATAGAAAATTACAAAACGCCACATTTAAATATTAATATTAAGAGCTCTTACTTTCACAGTGTCATTTTCTAGAGATACTCTGACGAATTTTCAATGTTCTTTGGAAGAAAAAAAATAGTCGTTTTTTTTGAGACACTCTAATGTACATTCTAAAAATACTATGTAAATCTTCGGACATTCAAAGTGCATTTTCTCCTATATATATTTATATACAGGGTGGGCCAATGGAAAGTTTCCACTCGGTTTTCTCAGGTGTTACGAAAAAAAATAAAAAACGCTCGCACCCGTCGATTTCTGATTTGAGGGGGACAATTTGTTTTTATATTTTTAACCCCTTAACTTCAACCCCTGAGCGGGGGTGAAAGTTACCCTCAAAATTTGAATAGGAAAAGGGGGTCGAGTGATACTTTTTTTTGAAGGTATTTTTGCCCTGATTATACCCTCCAAGTTTAAACTCGCTGCTATCATTCCTATTGATATGACAGCTTGTTAAAATCTTGAAAATTGGCTATTATTTTAGTAAGAGTAAAAGCGATACTTTTGAGACAGTCTGTAGGTATGCCGAAGGAATAAAGTAAATATTAGCAAAACATCAGTTTTTTTACGTTTGAAGAAAAAAGTGTAAACTTTATTTATAAAATATTGCGCACAATCATCATTAAGATTATTATCGTTAGTTCAAGAGCTTATAACTAAATTTAATTATGGTATACACTATAGCCGAGCGAGTTGAATTAGTTTATACTTATTTCAAAAACAATGACTGTGCAAGACAAACAGCACGACTATTTAATGAAAGACATCAGGAAAATGTCTCTCATACTTATATTAGGAAACTGATGGTAAAGTTTTTGGAAACTGGAACAGTGGAGAACAAAAAAGATAATCCGATTCGTGTCGTTAGGAATGAAGGTATGCAAATCGCAGTCATAGGGCACATTGCAATGGATAACACCTTAAGTACTAGGCAATTGTCCGAAGTTTCCGGCATATCACGAACAAGCGTAAGGAGAATTTTGAAGGTTCACAAATTTTACCCCTACAAGATACAATTGCTTCACGAACTTAATGAGGATGATTATGATCGACGATTACAATTTGTAGAAGAAATTATAAATTTTCTTTATAATGTCTGCTTTTCAGATGAATGCTCCTTTTTTTTACATGGATTAGTCAATCGACATAATTGTCGATACTGGAGCGATTCAAATCCACATTTATTTAGAGAGTCTCATACTCAAAATCCTGAAAAGTTAAATGTCTGGGCAGGTATTCTAGGCAATAACATAATTGGACCATTCTTTTTACAAGGCAATTTGACTGGGGCTATGTATCTGACTTTACTTGAAGAAAATATTGTTCCTAGAATAAGGGAAGTTATTGCTGAAGATAATAACTTGTCGCAAAATGAAATGTTTTTTCAACAAGATGGAGCCCCACCGCATTATGCAGCACCCGTTCAGCAATTTTTAAATGAAAATTTTAGAGACCATTGGATTGGCCGAAGAGGACCTATTGAGTGGCCTGCAAGGTCCCCTGATCTTTCACCTCTGGACTTCTTTCTATGGGGCCATTTAAAGTCTAAAATTTATAAAACACAGCCAGCTTCTCTTCAAGTTCTACAAGAACGAATAACTGAAGAGTGTCAAAGGATAACTACCGATATGTTGCAGAATGTTAGAGAAGAGGTAGAGAATCGATTTTATTTTTGCATGAATGTTAATGGAGGACATTTTGAACAGTTTATTAAATAAATATCATGTAAATAACTTTTTATTAATAATAATAAAACTTTAAAACTTTAATTAGTAGATATTTTTATTAAGGAAGGTAAGTATTGTTTTTACTTATAATAAAACGTGATCTATTTCCAAGATTTTAACAAGCTGTCATATCCACGGGGATGCTAGCAGCGAGTTCAAACTTGGAGGGTATAATCAGGGCAAAAATACCTTCAAAATGAAGTATCACTCGACCCCCCTTTCCTATTTAAATTTTGGGGGTAACTATCACCCACGCTTAGGGGTTGAAGTTAAGGGGTTGAAAATATAAAAATAAATTGTCCCCCTCAAATCAGAAATCGACGGGTGCGAGCGTTTTTTATTATTTTTCGTAACACCTGAGATAACCGGGGTGGAAACTTTCCATTGGCCCACCCTGTATGTATATATACAGTGCGGACGTTAAAAGTCCCCCCCCTGTTATCTTTTGAACGAAAAAAGGTATCGACATCGGACAAAACCAGCGTTTTTTATTATTTTTCGTAACACCTGAGATAACCGGGGTGGAAACTTTCCATTGGCCCACCCTGTATGTATATATACAGTGCGGACGTTAAAAGTCCCCCCCCTGTTATCTTTTGAACGAAAAAAGGTATCGACATCGGACAAAAACCATTGTCAAGGACATTAAGAATACTACTTTTTGACGTTAAATTGATAGGTGCCCATTTAAGGAGCGCCAAGAGGGCAGTATCAACTTAAAAATTTCCAAGGGAAAGGGGGGGCTTGTGATACCTCATTTGAAAGGTATTTCGATTCTCTATTCGATGCTATTTAAATTAACTAAAAAACTAAAGTACAAATCGACTTGAGTAAATCGCCAAAAATCATTGAGTTAATGCGTTGCTGAGTGAAATGTTGAGTAATTTTGTAAATATTATTCTAATTTGTGTATATTTAACTAAAACATTATCTAAGTTACACTTTTTTGTGAAATTGCAATTAAAATTGTGTAATTTTACTAAATATTTGGTTAAACATAAGTAATTACTCATATTTGGGTAATAAAAACTCTAGAAAGTGAAGATTTATTGCTTTCGATTGAATTCGCGTCTTTCACCTCTTAGTTGCCTGTTGATCTGACGCGTTGCATATTCCTTTATTATTTGTTTTGGTTAATTAGAGTACGAATATAGGTAAGTTATTCCTGTAATATTATATCCTTATATACCTACATGTAATAATTAAGTTAAAGTTAATAATAATCATTAAGTTAGAGCAGAGTTCAATAATGTTCGAATAATTGAGCTCATCTTTCGAACGCCGACTCCATTTTTTTCCCTAAATATCCCACTTTAAATACAACGTTTTCGATACTTTATATACAATATATTATTACTTATACGATGAGTCTTGATCAAGACTCATCGTATAAGTAATAATATATTGTATATAAAGTATCGAAAACGTTGTATTTAAAGTGGGATATTTAGGGAAAAAAATGGAGTCG